GCTTTTCAGGGGATGCCGAAGCTGGTACAGGTGCCTGCGCTGGCGTTGGTGCAGTTGGTGCTGTTGCTGGTGTTGGTGGCATTGCTGGCGCTGTTGGAGCTGGCATTGGTGGCGCTGTTGGAGGTGGCATTGGTGGTGCTTCTGGTGCTGTTGGAGCTGGCTTGGAATCCTTAGTTTCTTTGATATCCTTATTGTCCTAAAAATACCTTTCGATAATTGAGAAAGAAACTTTTGGGTATGTGTTAGATATGATTTTTCGATTTTGTAGTTTTGGCGCTTGACATTACGACTGCTTGCCAACTAATTCTTACTGTACTGAGTATTGAGTGTCAAACATGCAAAAATGGAATCCTCACTTGATTCCAGAACTTGGTGATTCAGTTGAAAAAATGCGGTGAGCTGTGGATACCACTTGGAACCGCGGCGAAGCGTTTTTCACTTTGCCCAGACTTCGCTACGAAGCTAGTATTTTCAGGCATTTGAAGACAGAAGGAAAGATATTAATTACCAGCTTTTATCAACTTTTTTTGCATAAGGCATTCTTTTGAATGATAGCAGGCCAATACTTAAGTTTTGAAAATGTGTTTTCCGCTAGCCTAGACCTCAGCAAGAGATCTCCAGTTTGCCTTACAAAAACGTATACCCTGCTGAGAATCCAGCAAATTACGAACGCATCTTTTTACGAAATTTGACCCTTTCATCGGCTACTCATTTAGAAAAACGAGCTTAATTGAACAACTGAAAACGCATTTCATTTTTTCGCGCAATCGGAGACGGTTCTAAAGTGCTACGTAAGGCGACAACAGAAATAACTCTTATACCCGAGCCCCCACTTCTGGCTTTTCTCCCCCAAAAACTCCGGCACGTCCTATGAAAAGCTGGTGCTAAGCCTCACTCAACTTTTTATTTGACTTCCGCACATGAGCTCAGTATGAAATTTACCTGAGCTGATGGTATGACAACGGTATCGCCGAGAAGATCAAAGGTGTTCAGTGTGCTACTGGCAGATTTTGTTTCCTCCGCATGATCTGCAAACAAGATCGTATGTAAGAATTAACTACTTATTATAAGGACCTAAAGCATTGTAATCCTGACGACTGAAGAGCAAGGCTTAGTTTTCAGCCTTAGTAATATGACAGACTACGATAGTTTAGACTTTTTGATAGGGAACCTATGATGGCAGAGCGAGCAATAATGCATTTTTTTCGATAGAAAGAAATTTACGCTAATTATTGTGATCC